TACGAACCAGGTTCTTGCAAAAGCTGTAATTCTTCCCTAAGTAGTCGGACTAAATTATAATAAAATTATTTCCATTAATATTATTGCTCTCGTTATTCGTAAGACATTCTTTCCGAGGATATTGTTCCTTATACACCTTTTGCGTTCAATGCATTTCTTTGGGCTTCTAATCGTCTCAAATTTTGTGTCTTTTCATTTATGATCAGCTCCGACTCTTCGATCTTCGCCTGATAATAACTTTTGATACCTTCTCCCTTCATGAATTGAATAGTTTGAATGGTAATGAGTTTACAAACGAGATATCTTACGCAAGCTATTTCTCAGCTGGCGAGCTGTAGTACGTAATTTTTCACGTGATTCTATGATCGATAATCAATTTTTGATACCTTTTACTTTTAAACGTATTTTTAATGGATACTTTAAATTATACAATACAGTAGATCATACAGTAGATTATAATTATTATATTAATAATCTTTACAAAGAAAAATTAATAACTTATTGCAATTAGCTATTATTATTAAGATACTAAGAAAATAATTTCATATTAATAGTATTAAATAATTAATACCAATTTAAATAATAAAATTTTTGTAATAGAAAATATATATATTTTAATAAATTTTAGTTATCTTTTTTCAATAATTAATAATTTTGAGTTCAAATTACAAATTATTAATATTTTTTTTTTGTTGCAAATGGACATTAAATGTGAGACTTTATTAAACAAATAATACAAATATTAATTTAATATTAAATAAAATTAATTTTTTTTTTTTTTTAAAAAATAAGTAAATATTGTTGCTTTATTATTATGGTTCCGAAAATTGGAATCGAATAGAATCGAACAGAATCGCATGAGGTTCGGAACACTATTAAAAATGATGGTGGGGTATACCCCACCTATTAAATTTAATATAAACTTAAGAATCGAATACAGAATCGAAGAGAATCGTTAGGATCCTTATTTATTATAATTATAAAATTGAAAAATTTATACATAAAGAAAGTAACAACATCTCTCATGTAACCAGTTGATCAGCAAGTTTAATGCTAGCTTGCCTACAGTAAACTATCTAAGTTGCAAAGGAAAAGAAATATTAAAACCAATATATTGTCAAAGATAATATCAAATAGCTATGAATATCTACTCAGATTTATATATAAAAAAACTATAAGAAATAAAAATAAAATAAAATACTAAGCAAAAAAATAAATACAAAAAAATTAATTGTAAAGCTAATAATACTTCAAATAAGTACACCACACTGATAATTCTATTTAATTAAAGTACAATATATATATACTTATTATAAATGGCTAGGCTACTGTTCAAAGTATACAGTAGTATTGATGATATACAGTATTTCTTTGATAGTCAATTTGTTGTAATAATTGTATTGTTATTTTGTTTATATGGTTAGTAATTGATTTGTTTGTTAATAATATGATTGGTTTATTTGTTGATAATATGATTTTGTTTTGATAGTTATTATTAAAAAAGAGTTTGTTTATATTAATCAATATGTAGTATTTTGGTAATACAGTTTTGTTTGAATAATTAATAGTGTTTGATTGGTTAATTTTGAGATGTTAATCAATTGACAGGAGTAAACTGATTGCAGTTTTTTTATAAAAATTTTTTTAAAAAAAAGTTTTGTATTTTTTGTGGTATAGCAAGTTATGCTGGGTGATAATAAGAAGAAAACAATGAATATATTATTGGTTCTCCAAATCAACAATATAAATATTTTTAATATATGATTTGATTTTTTGGTTTGTAAAAAGATCATCAAAAAAATATATAATTATTTAATAAGAAATATATATTTGTAAGAAGTGAAAATGGGAAGAATCTCAAAGAAGATTTATAAAGAAGTAACTACTACAGGTCTTTCCTCATACAATCCAAAGAAAAAGCAAGAGCCTCAAACTTGCTTTTCTTTGGTCAAAGGTCTCATTCCAATGTATCAGTATACTTTTTTAATTTTTTTGAGGTTCTTGTAGTAAAGATAAAGAATGTGTGAAGGACTTTGGGAAATTAAAAGACAAGAAAAATATTTGTTTTTTTAATTTTGAAAGATAATTACTAAAAAAGAAAATTTTTAAGAAAAAAGTTGTGTACTTAAATAAAATTAATATAATATCTAATATCATAATCTGTTAGGTATTTTTTTTTAGTAGGTAAATATTATTTCTTTATTTGATTTGTATATTAAAAATATATATCATGAAAGAAACAACATCTCTCATTTGTAAATACAGTGAGTTTAATGCTAGCTTGCCTACAGAAACCAAATAACTAATATTAAAAATAAATTTTAAAACAATATATCTTATTAGATAGTACCAAGCAGTTATGTTTACCTACTTAGTATTAAAAGAAATAATATTGGAATAGCTTTGAATTAGTTTAGTAATACATTTAAAAAAGTTGAAATTGTTTTGAATATAGGTATCTGCAACTAAAATAGATAGGTTGATTGTTGTTGTTGATTCTTGTATAGATGAAAATTTTTGTAAATTTGATTTAAAAGTTGTTTGATTGTCTTTGATTATGTTGTTAGAAGATTTGTCTTTCTATTTTATACTATTTTGTGGAGAGATGTTGGCCGTAGCACATTATAGTTTCCATATGGTATTATATAATTATGTTAGGACTTCAGTCGACACTTGTGCTCAATTGTTAAAGTCTGATAAGGAGAAGATGCTGTCAGTGATACCATATGCTAACTTTATGACCTGCTATATGTGGGTTATTGATTCTGAGTCATCATTGAGATGAAGAATAAGGTTGGTTTGCTTGATAATTTGATTAGTTTCTTTTGAAACTATTGGGCATTTAAATATATATTGTATATTTTTAGTATGAAGTTCACATCATGAACAGTAGAAATTTGGATATTGGTCTAGATTATACATGTGACATAAATTATTTTGTTGTTGACTCAATTCCCAAAATCCTTAAAAATAATTACGTCATGACTCAATTATTTATATGTTTTAATAGTGACTCAATTAATTGCATCAAATAATTGTGTCAATTGCATCAAGAATCTACAAATTTCAGTAACATGTATAGTCTGGATGTTGTTGGTGAAGATTTTCTCATGTATAACCTGTTATATATTGTTTTTTATAAGAAGTTATTTTATATACTAATTCAATAAATATTAAAATTGGAATTTTTCAATAAGATATAATATACGTAATAATTATTTAATTAATAATAATATTATTATTTTACTTTAAATTAGACTGCATATTATTAGTTTATTAATTTTATTTATCAAAAAAAAAATATATTTATATATTTGTATTAAAAATATTATAATAAAGTTAAACTTTGTATTGCTATATAATATATTTATCATAAGTCTAAAATCTCTAGATATGATTATAAAAAATAAAAAAAAATTGCTCAATTATATTCTAAAACTTTCTATCAGTTTAAAACATTACAGCTAGCCCTTATTCAAAACCATTACTTCTATACAATCATTATAGTTCTATAGAAATAAATAAAAATTTATTTTTTAAGAAAATAAAGGAAAAAAAAAAGTAATTCAAAAATTTGTTCTAGTAAATAAAAATTCTTCAATATTAATTTTAGTCCATTAAAATAAATTCTTTATTACTACTTGCAATTAGGCAAACTATTTAATTTTTTTATTATTTTATTGTTAATTAAAAATGTTCAAAATACTTATAACAAGATTTACAGTAAAAAAGTCTTATAATCTTAAATATTTAATATCTTCTCAAGATAATTATTAATAGAGAAAACTTATTACTGAATTCAAATGAGACTTCTTTTGATCTTAAAAAGAAAAAAAATCAATTCAAAAAAAAGAAAAAAAATATCAAATGTAATAATACTATTGATAAAGTAAGTGATACAAAATATATTATACAAGTGGTATGAACAAGTCAATAGAAGGAGCAATACTCTAGGAATATAATAATTCAATTCATATCTTTCTAGGATATCTAAAACTTGAAATATCTTAAGTTTATGATTTTCTATTATACTTAGGACATGTGACATATACAGGTAATATTAGTATATAGTATATAACATGTGACGTCTAATCCCAAAAGATATTTAATATTATAATAATATAAGTTTACAAATATCAATAGTTCTATTCTGTTTTACTTTTAGTTTCTTTAATTATTAATAAGGGATTTTAAAGGTATAAGATAATTAAAATGAAATACTAGTTTATTATTATTATTATTTTTTTTTAATTGCAAACAGGCATTAAATGCGGAACTTTTATTAAACGAAAGTTTACAGCCATTACATTAAGAATCTTTTACATATTTTGTAAATAAATTCTAGCCTATCACGTCTTTTTACCAGAATACCAACTTAGACCCAGTCGGTGGGTCCATATCCTGGTTTTATACTTATAACTCCCTACTTGTAAATATAAGGTAAGGAAAATCCTGTATCAACAGTGAAAAACATTCCTAGCGGTCTCCTTTTTGGTTTTATGACCCGACTCTTTCTTAATAATTGGGTCACCAATCTGGATTGCGTCAACATCAAATAGGGAGGTAAAGATCCAATCGAATTTTGGAGTTTGCTGATCCAGTTTGAGGTACTAGCTGATTGAGTATGACCTATATCAGGAAGCTAGCCAACCTGAATAGGAAGGATGGTGATACAGAGTCTGCTGTTCCAGTTTTGAATTGTGAACTTTATACCAGAGTTAGACCAGAAGTCTTGCCTCGTGCAACCTTTCCTGCTTTGACCTGTTTTTCAGCTCGTGATCGTCAGAAAGACCAGAAGTCCTATCTTCATGCAGCCTAGCTTGATTTGGTGAATAATTTTCAGCTGATTGGGTACGACATGTATTGGAAGCTGGTTAACCAATAATAAAGGTGGTAAATTTTTTTGTAACCAGGTAGGTTTGAACCCTAGATCTTCTCCTGGTGACCTATGGAGCATTACCACTATGCTATAGACCCATAGGTCTTTATAACTCAATTATTTATGTTTTAATAATTATTCAATTAATTGTATTTATTAATTATATTAACTATATTAAAGAGACCTGTGGGTCCATAGTGTAGTAGTTAACACTCCACAGGTCAGATCACAAAATACCAGTTCAACCCCAGGTGAAGGTGGTTGAACCGAATTAAAAATGGTATCTGGGGCCATAACCTGTTAAGTCCTGTTTCCCATAAGAAGTCATTCGCACACTGATCCAGTAGAATATTGGGATTGTGATCTTCAGAAAAGGTGGCG